CTCATTATTCCTGTCTGACTTTTTACCTAGACAATTCTTTCCCTCAGTGAAGATCCTGCTCACAGACATCTCTCTTCTCACAGTATCGCCCCTTGTCCCCACTTCCATCAGGTTTCTAGGCACCACATCTTTGTCTTGCTAATCCCAGGATTTCTGCTTCTTCTTAATTTGCTTTTTTCTTAGCCTTCCTTCCATGACCATTTCCCATGTTCCTAGTCTCTGCTCCCTTCCCAGTTTCCCTTTTTCCAGCCTGCCCTCCCATCAGCAGCAGCTCTGCAAATACTTGCCCAGCCTGGTTTGTTTTTCTTGTTCCTTCCTACTTCAGCTCGGAGTCACAGTGTCATCCTTTTCCGGTCCAGTCTTAGTCTCCCCAAGTCTCCCCAATCTCCTTCCTTCCTTCTTGCCTCCCTCCCTCCCTCTCTCCCTCCCTTCCTTCTCTCCCTTCATAAGTTTTACCCCTTCTGCAGTTGCCTGAGAGAGATCCTCCTCGATATTTCCTAGATTCTTGCAGGGAAACTCATGGTTCCCATGACCTGCCTCATGCTACAAAGGAGTAGGTGGATCAGATGTTACCAGGAAAGTCCTCAGAGCTTCCTGCTGTGCTGAACTATATCTCTAGGATGGGGCAAATTCAGACCGTCAGAGGCCCTGACACATGCCCCGTCCAGCCAAAGGTCAGAGTGGGAGAGTTTACAGCTTCCTCTCTTTTGGGGATGGTGAATCAGGTCTGCACAATAAATTGTTCAGCAATTTTGCAGCTCAACTCTACTAAACCTCTCTTGAGCAAGGCTGTAGTTTTCCTAGCTTATAATTTGGCCAGATCTAGAAGGAAGATTCGTGGATATGGAAACAACACATTTCTGGCACGTGGGCTGTGCCGCAGCAAATCCCAAGCCTCGTTCAAAGTGCTGAAGCTCTTCTTTTCAGTATTGGATCAGCAACATATTTTTCCATAGCTTGAGTCTCCAGAAAAAGTAAAACTATTGGCTGCATTTATTCCCAGAAAGAAAAATAGTAGCCTGAGGGCTAAACATTCAACATGGAAAATTTCAGCCTAAGGATTAAAATTTGGCAGCTATAAGCAACAGAAAACTAGATCATTGGAAATGTCAAGAGATCTTAATTTACAACATTATCTGTCCTTCCCATAAAAGTTTATCATTATTCTAGGTGTAATACAGCCCAAAGTAGTGTTTCATCTGCACAATAGCTTCATATTATTATTTAATTCTTTTTTTGTGATAAGATGTGAAACCCTCAATAAGTATCAGGACATTATGTTACAAGCCTTTGTAGACACATGCAATACTAAACCATCTCTTTAGGAAAGGGTTTACAGTCCAAAATGAAGACTTAATTGGCTAAAGTTTTCCCATTTTGCACACTAACTTTTTGATTGTAAGAACATGAGGATAAACAGAGTGCAAAACATATGTAGGTTAAGTCATCTAAAATAACTGATTATCCACATCCAACCATGCTGACTTTTGGTTTTGGTCCTTCAGACAGGCAAGTATTTCCTCCAATTACCTTTTCACAGCTCCAGAACACAATTTCCTATTAAACGAGTGTTGTCCCAAAAATTCATCATAATGAATTTTACAGTCAAAGCACTCTGACCTAGTTCTAAGTCAAAGTTTTTCTATACCACTAAGTAAAAACTTAGTAAATCGTAAGCACATGATACTGGCCTAATATGAAGAGATTCTTATAATAAAGTGGAAGCTGAATCGTCAGCTCTTCTGAAAAATCCCTCTCTACACTTTACAGAAATAACTGAAAACTGCAGAGCTCTGTCTCCAAAGCCGATATAAAATACTGTACCTTTGACTTAACATTTGGCTGTAGCTTTCTATTTCATAAATCAAATTATTTGCTCCCTGTGATATCTGCAAAATGCTGAAATTTTGCCACCAATCATGGAAGACTAAATCTGTTTCAGCTGGCATTTTTTTATTTTACTTTATAGGGCATCAGGTTAAAAAATGACCCGTATTTCTACAGCAATTTCTCTCCTGTATGCGTAGCAGCAAAGAAAAAAACCCATGAATACTTAGTATTTTGTTAAGTATGTTTGACTATACGAAGTTATAAAAAAAAAGAGAAAATCTCTGCAACTCACGATAAAAATTTCATTTCCAAAAAGAGCTAGTAAAGCTGTCAAAGAAAAAAATTCATTTCTATGGTATACGCTATATAAATGAATATATATAAACCACTCTGTAAGACCATATATAAATGAAACTGCACATACATCAAGACCTAAATAACTATATAAACGCATCCTAAATTTTCTGAAACAGATGGCGGATCACATACAGACAAGCTATGCATTCCAAAAAGATTTTTCTTTAAGAAGAAAAAGTAAAGGGAGATGAAAGAATAGTGGGGAAATGTTTAAAAGCTTATTAAATTAAAACAAACCCAGCAAACTGATGCAGCAACGTAAGACAGTAAAAAGCAAATAAAAGAAAGGGATGACACAGTCATTTTGGAATTGAAAGCTTAAATTAAAGCATGATGAGATTTTTCACCTTTACTCTGGCCCCTGCAAGCTGGATCAAGGAGCTGGAGCAGTGGGAGGAGATTTCAGAAGTCCAGGGTACAGCTGAGGAAGCGGAATAAGTCTCCTGGCACAGAGGTCAGATTTGATGGCCCTCCAAGGCTTGGTGTAGGAGGGTGTCCGAAGGGTGGCAAAGCTACGAGCTCCTGCAGCACTGGGGTACCTGAGCAGATCACTGTTTACAGAGCGGACTAGGGAGGCTCTGTTATCCAAAAGCCCTTACAGGCAGCTCTAATGTCAAGAGATATTAAAATAATTTTTAAGTGACCTTTGTCCTTTCTCCTTCTAGTTCCTCTGTACTTCCCTCTCAGAGATGCACAGAGCACAGATTCTCACTGTGCACAGCACAGATTCTCACTTCGTGTACTTAAATAACAGTGGCTTTGATAGGATTCGGGCACATGCTTAAGATCTGAGAATAAGATCCTACCTTGGGGCAGTCAGTAAAGTTCACGTTCCCACTGCAGTCAGGAGGAGGAAATAGAAATATTGTAGTCAAATGTGCAGAAAAGGAGAAACTTCTGTTGGTACTCTCATTTAATCCGCTACCACAAAGTAACAATGCAAACATTCTTCACATTTCTCAGACATGGCAGAAAAAGGGGGTTATATCAAGTTCAATTATACATCCTACGTGGTGCATACTTTTTGCCTGAAGAGTGAATAGATTGCAACATGTTCTTCACCCCTTTAAAAATACTTAAGACAAAATGTTTATTTCCTGATGATCTTCATCCATCATTGCTTCCCCCCCCAAAACTAATAAGTTATATTACTCAGGTTATGAGATCAAAAGTCAGTGAAGCTTGCAATGAGTTATGTTAAAAAGACTATTTTATACTTCCTCTGTGTTTTAAACTGCATCTAGTACAAAAAGTGATTTATTCAGGTTTACATTCATGGCAAGGGAACAATAAAATGGTGGCTGTTTGGCCAGACTAATCTCAACTTTCCGAATTTCCTCACTTTTCAGAGCGTGTTTGCAACCTCAACAACAGAACAGCCTGTTTATCCTATCCGTGGAGCAACAAGGCTCTCTTCCGTGTTTCATGCTACAGCTTTTGCATCACATTTCTTACGGATTATTTATTTTTTCTAATTTTGTATGAAGTTTTAAGGTACAAAAGTTACAAGAGAACAAAAAAAAATTCTGAAGATAATCATATTTTACAAAATATAAGCCAATACAGAGCAAAAAGTCCTTGATCTACCCTAAGACCCCCCACACTTACAAGTACAGATTAATTCAGCCATTTCTGAATTTCGTCTTCTGGAGTAGTCTGCTTATGTATCTACTACATTCTGCTAGATTTGCCAGCAGACCATGGAAATTTTACAACTTCAAAATATCAACCGAAATATGACTGGGGGTTCTTTGCAAATGTGATCAAAATATAAAATAGTTGTGTAATAGCACATCTTCACATCATTATGAAAAAGAATAATCTAGTTCCCTCTCTCTTTTAATTGTGCCATACCCAAGTTACAACAGGAAAGCAGTAGTTCAGAAGTCAATCACTGAGCTGGGGACAGTGTTTTATACTAACTATAATTTCAGTGGGAACATTTTTCTGAGTAAAAACAACTAGTTTTGGCCTATTTTTAAGACCAGCATCCCATACCTAATCCCAGACTCACTGCAACAGGCTAGCTTTGACTGCATGGGGTAAAAACTCACTCTGAATGTGTAAACTGGTTTTACAAACAGCAACATCATTATTGTCTGCTCTTTCCTTCTCTATGCATTTTCTTCTTACTGTTGAAAGACTTTTAGGCTTGTCAGTCAAATGATATAAAATGACACAGGCAATGATAGTGTTACCAGAAATATCATTTCCTTTTTAAAAAAGATATTTTTATACAATTAAGTACATGTCATTTTAAATATGATGTTTTATTTTCCAAAAAAAAATGTAAATGATCTTTTCACTAAACAGCAAACAAAATGATGTATCTATGAAAAATATGGTAACGCTTTTTTAAGGATGTGCAGATGGTGTGGTTAGCACATCTGCAGCAATACAGGAACTGAAGAGAACAGGAATTCTTTGAGAGGATGAGTTACTACATCCAATCTATTTTTTTACCATTTTTTGCAACGATGTTCTTTACTGAGAACCATTCTCTACCCTGGAGTGCTTGATATTTGGCCCCTTTTCAGAGTTTCTATTATACTCAAGAGAGAAAGTTAATTGTAAAATCTATTAAAAATCTTAATCACTACACAGTCAATTTTTCAACATGTTATCAGAACAGCTTATTTTTTTTATTTGCATCAAATAACATTTATTTATACAAACAGAAAGCGTCTTCATAAACAGAGTAATTACATAATGGAAAAGGTTTAGAGGTCAGCAAGGTTGGTCATAGGTATGGAACAGCTTGTGGATGAAGAAATGTTAAGCAAGCTTGCACTTTTTGGTCTAGAAAGCAAATAACCAGGGTAACATAACGGGGGCCTAAAAGATCATCAGTGGCAGGGAGAGCATAGTGGGGAATGACACTTCACTGCCTTTTCAAGAACAGGTGTGACGAATAAAGCTAGCAAGCAGTGGGTTCAAAGTGGACAACAGACATAGTTGTGCTGTGGAACTCCATAGGATGTTGCCATAGGATGTTGTAGAGGACATAAGTTTACATGGGTACAAGGGGGCGCCGAACAATTACTGGAAAAGAAGTCTATTCAAGACTGCTATCTGCTTAGAAATTGCATTGGGCTTGAAAATATACAAATAGCAGGAGGCTGGAAGAGCACATGGGGAGAACATTATACAAGCTTGTCTTTTTCTTGTACTCTTCTCTAGGCATCCTTTTTTGGCCATTGATATTGAGATAGACGAACCTTTGTTCTGACCCAAAGGGGCTGCTCTTCTGTTCACGTATTTTGGTCCCTTTGTTGGCAAAAATGCTTACGTGTGCAAATATGCAAGTACAAATTTAATGAAACTGATGAAGTAACTTTCAGTATCTTAACGAAACTTTTGAAGTAACTTTCAGTATCTTTCTTATCATTATATTCCCTTCCAGGCATCAAGGAGAAACTGGATCATAGTGATTACATAGTAGGTATTGTGTTTGAAGACCAACAGTGAGATAAGGGCGCTTTACGAAGGATGGTCTTTGCCTAAACTATATGAAACCAGCAACATAGAGAACACATCATTTTCAAGATCCTCCCAAAAATCTGGCTCTGGTCCTCCAATTCAGAGGTGCCCAGACCATGAAATTACCTGGGGAGTGATGCCCAACTTAAAACAGAAGTATTTTTACCCATCTCATTTAAAGTTTAGCCATCCAAGCCAGTGAATGAACTATAAAAAGCACTTCTTAAAACCAGCATCTCAAGTATATTTAATCTTTTTTTATATCATATAGCTATGTAACCCAGTCTTTTTTTCTAATTTTCTTCATTCCGCCAGTCCTGGGCGGACTCCTGTACTTCATTCTCTGTGGGTGAGGGCTGTGGCACTTCTTGTGCTGTTGTTGACTGAGATGGTGAGAACACTGTAGCTGACGTTCCAGGCGCATTTCCTTTCAAAGCCAATCCTGACCCTGAGGAAGGGGCTGTTTCTTCCACATTTCTTTGTGAACCTTTTTTGGCCCGCTGTTTGTCTTTGCTGCCTTTTGCAAATTTTGATTGCCAAATATTTTTTAAAGCAGCCCTGAAATGGAAATGAGAATTGAACAAAAATGTACATTGAAGTAGGTTTACATTTACTGCTTTGAATCACTCCCCTCCCATCTGCAATCCCTATAGTTGCTTTGCAAAATACTTCTTTCCAATGCAAAGTAGTTCTTTCTAATCTGAAGAAGCTTGTTCATGTTTTCCCTACTGGCAACATAAATATTAAACCACAGAAAAATTAAATTAATTTACCCTAAGTCATGTTTGTCACCAGTAATACCATATTTTGATCAGATAGCACATAAAAATCATATCGTATGCTGTCCACCTACCAGTGAAGAATTATAAAGATTAATGCAAAGATCACACCAACAATCACAATGATTCCAGTTACCAGGGAAAAGATCAGAACTATATTTTTCTTTGTGTTCCTTGGTTGTCTTGTTTCCAGGTCTGAAGAAAAGAAATACATGGTCATTATTATGTTCAAATTTTCAAATGAGTCAGTCATTTTATGGCATAAACAGAACTAAAAGGGAGCCTGATTCTTTACTGTCTGACATCTTTCACAATCGTTAGGCTTTTACTAAATCAGAATAATAACATTTTATATCTTCTTTGCAAAGGAACATCTGACCAGAGAAGAGGCAAGGAAATAGAGATCAAGACACATGGAGTGGGATTCAACTCACTTAACTTTAGATGTTTTACTATGTAGGTGTTTGAGCTAGCAATCTTAGATTCTCTCTATAATAGAATCAGTGGAGAGAAACAGGCACTTCCAAGCTACACTCAGCTGACCTCGTTTGGATGGCCAGGCTGAGGTGAATTGATCCCATTCCACTGATGTACGGGGAGTCTGGACAGATAGCTCAGATGCAAACAGCTGGTTAGAAGAATTCCACTCTTACTGTCTAAGACCTAGTGGTTTTAAATGGCAGACAGAAAGATCAGAGCTTGGAATACCGAATGTTGGCAGGAAAAAACTAGCGAAAATAATTGTGGCAGAAAAGGGCACTGCACATGTATATACTAGCGAATCTCAAAGCTAGCCTTAGTAGAGCAGCTCCCAGAGCAGTGTCCATAGCTGTGCAACAAGGCTTGTAGTTCCTGAAGACTGACAAGAAAAAAAACTGGAGAGAGAAAAAAGTACCTATTTGGTAAATGTTAAGAACTACTAATATCATAATAGTTTTGCTTTAGGAGCTGTTTCAATATAAGATTTCAAAACATGCCCCCATAAGGTGTATGAATTACTGAGAAACAGTAATGACCAGAAACTGCAGAAACTGTATGCCACTTGAGGCAGAGATGACTCCCTTGTTCCGTGCCTGGTACCACACGCTCCGTCATCCAGAACTGAGGTACCAAGGTACCACCACAGTACAAAAGAATTCTAACGATCAATCACAGTTGTTGCAACAGTAATGATAATAATTAAGATAAAAGACAGTATGCTAACAAAGGACTGGATTCAACGACATACGTACTCCTTTTCAGTTCTCTGTTTCTACCTAGGTCTGTAGATCCTTCATGTAAAGCAAATCACCACCAAACATGTAAAGGAGTTGTTCTGCATGGCCCAGAAATGCAGAACTTCTTAGCTAAAAGCAGCGGCAGGAAACTGAGGAGTGAAAAATGCAGCAAAAATATCAAGTAAAAGCATGTTTTGTAATATTGCAGCCTGTGAAACCTCGGAAAGTTCATCTAAGGAAACTGATGGCCTTGACAATACTTAGGCTGTTTTATGTAACACTGGATATACTCCTTAGGAGATGACTAAAGAACAGCACAAGAGTGGAGAACGCTGAAGTTGGTCAACAAATTTCCTCCATCCATTTTTTGATAATGGATAAAGAAATACCTGGAAGGCAAACCCTGTCACCCTGTTCTGAAATTTAAATGAGCTTGTTCAAGCATGTTCAACCAAATCAACAAAATGTCAGACATCGTTCCTGTTCCCTCCAGCTTTGACAATTTTACACAAGCCAGCCTTAATTTCTCTTTCATTTTCCCTCAACCACATACACTCTAAAACTATAAGGTGCTATCTAGTTGCTGACTGGTGTGCAAATTCTCATTCACACTGGTAGGAATTCTGTGTACCAGAATGACTGCAGGAAAACCATTTCTATTTCTATTTCTATTTCATTTCTATTTCTACATAAGGTCTCGTTCCACTGTCATCACTGCAGTAACTAAGCAACTCTTCCATCACATCATTTGAGTTTCACTCTCCCGCATCACAGAATTTTCATTTTGTTATTCTTAAACCACAGCTCTTCCATAGGATTCTCCTGATCTTTCTGCAAGATACAGGACAGGTAAGAATGGTTAACTGGATAAGAATATCATACAAAATAAGTCGGAATACTGGGGTTTTCAAACAAAGTAGAGCTACCTGCTTTTAGACTAATTCATTTCACTGACTAGACTGTGCCATTTTGGAATTATATGCAGTTGAGGGGAATGGACATTAATTAAAATTATCTTTGATTTTGCAGTTTCATTACAAATACATTAGTAGTTTGTTTTGCTCCTTGGCAAAATGTGAATTTAGAGCTCTAAGGATACTTCTGCTTACAGGCTGTAAGAGGAGCGGGCTGATATGAAAAGCAAGTTTTACTCTATCCACTCTCGATCTACTCAAGTTTTCTTTCTGCGAAGGAAATTCTTCCAATAGTCGAGAACTAGAACTGCCCAAGAGACAACCTGATAATACAGAGGGGACGTCTTCCAAGTAAACACACACAGAATCACAGAATCACAGAATCGTTTAGGTTGGAAGGGACCTCTGGAGATCATCTAGTCCAACCTCCCTGCTCAAGCAGGGTCACCTAGAGCATATTGCCCAGGATCACATCCAGACATCTTCAAAATGCAAGCAGAAAGCAGACAGAAAAGCGGCTTCCCAATAAGCTGTTTTACAATGAGCAAAGACTGATTCATATCAGGCGTGCTCTTAAGCCCCTGACCACACTGCTGAAGTCCAGGCAACACTTCCAATCAGTCAGTAAGAATTTTGCTACAGCCGGAACATAGCTTAAAACATCTTCTGCTTACAGTTAAGATTCCAAAGAAGTATTTACGCTAGCTTTTTCCAAAAGTTCATTTAGCTTAGTCAAAGAAGAAAAAAACTTCCTTTCTGAAACATGCGAAGTCTCGTTCAATGGTTTTCAACTTGAAGTTCACAACCTACTGGGGGGGGGTCTATGGACTACTTCATCATAAAAAATGATGAAGAAAAGCAATCTCATATATGTTCCACAATTACATTGTACAAAAATTCCTAAAATGGTGTGCACCTCTACTGAAAATGTCTAGGCTTCTACAATTCAAAAAAAGACCGATAACATACCTGCTAGTTTCAAGCAGATTGTCTACTGCCAATATATTTTTCAGGACTCTCCAACCGTACTGAAAGGTTAGCATTCTCACTATACCCATTGATTATTTACATTCATCTTGATTAAAAATGGAGTGCAACTTAAATGAAATACAAGGGTTGGATTTAGCTCTAGACTGTAGGTACTTCAATTCTACATCTAAACTATGGAGCTAAATTTCACTCCTCTGTGCGAGTCAGAACAAGGCAGGAAGGAAGGAAAAGAAGGAATGTCCAGATTTAGTACCTAGCTTGCATCAGGGCTTCCTGATTTGAGACCAGTCCTGTGGTCAGGAATGTGCTGGCAATAGCTCATGGGGGTCTTTTCCCCAGCTCCAAATGGTCCAAACACCATACAGTCCCTCCACCCAAGTCCCTTCCTGCTTAGATAATGTGGGGACGGCATGCTGGATTAGAGGAAACAAAAGTATCATTTGTATGCCTGGTACTAGTTGCTAAGAAGCTTGGCAGCTTTTTTATCTTCTTAGTGCCATCAGAACAAAACATTTAGGCTGAGCCACCATGTAGGATCTGACTCAAGGAACTTAGAAAGCTACTGCTTTCTCATCTGGGCCAGAAGAGATTCAGCACATACCTCCTTCACACCAAGCATCAGAGCAGGATAGCTCTAAAAGAGAGAACACATACTCTTTGCTGTGGCGTAGCCCAGCAAGTGTATTTCCATGGGTTACCACAGAATTTAACAATGCTCCTTTGGTTTCCATGCAGTGCAGCATATCTCTGGACTGTCTTCAGCCTTCATGGAGCCATCTCTCCTCTAATTTGTTTAAATCCAAATACATTCAGAGGCATCTGTTGCCACTGCTAGTATTTCCCTCCAGAAAATGTCAGCAATACAAATTCTGTCTCTGCATTCTATTCAGTCATTTTTTCACTAAGAAACAGATTCACAATACAGAAAATTATATACGTCAAGAAACTGGAGCACCTGCTGTTCCTCACCACTTCTAGCAAAAGGAAACCCGCTGCCTCTGCCAGCAGCACTGTTCCTCTTTATCCCCCTCTTCCCCTGGATTTTTCATTGAGTTGGAGTTCCTCCTAGACCATGATGTTGACTGTACATCTATAAGCAGTCACTTGAACAATTGTTTACATGGTCCAGCAGCCAACAGAAGTTTTTTCCACTTGTTTTCAGATCCAGATAGTATATATCAGTTTAGCAGGGGGGAATGAAATTCTGCCTCTGCAGGCTATTTCTTTTTTTTTCCTTTCCTTAATATAATGGTGATGCATAGCTTTTTGTTTCTCTTCCAGATTATTTCTGAGACTCTTCCTACACGTTAAAAAATGTATAGATATATGCAAATGTGAGCGCAAGATTACACTTATACACATGTGCACGCACACACACACACACACAAACACAGAGGAGGTGCAAACTGTTTTACTTGGGCACTGGGATTCCCCAAATCATTACTGTGCAAATGCAAGGAAAACATGGCCGTGTGTATTAAGCATTTGCACAGTAACGTGTTACAGAGATGCGCCTTTTTCCTCTAAAGGAAGCTCTGGCATTGAAATCATTACCACGAAATGAACGGAAGAGAAATGGGCGCTAGAACAGTCTCTGAGACACCTGCTGCCTGGTGTCCACACAGGCACATTATTGCCTCCATCTCCTCCACAGAAGTGCCACTATGTGCATGCGTCATCTTCTCTCTCTCTTATAAGAACTGTGGAGTTTGGGGCACAGTCAGGATCTCACAAGGCTGACACCCTTCACAGATCACAATAAGGAAGATCATTCTCTACCCTCACACTCCTCCCTTACAAAAACCTCTCCCCCCACAGGACTATTATTAGAAAATGTGAATAAACTGCCTTCTGGCTCTGAAGCCGTCACAAAACACCTAACAACATAACAGGCGGGAGTGTGGAAGAAGACCGTTTACTGTATTTCAGGATAGTGATTTAGTAAGAAGGACATACAGAAATTCTAGTTATTAAGAGATGGGATTTGCCTTGCAGAGATCATAGCAATTTTTGCTGAAGATAAAATACTTTCTTTCTCTGTCAGCAGATTAGTGTGAAAGGCAAAGAGTACCCACCAGTGTGAACGGTTCTGAAAACAAAGCAAAGAGCCAAACTGCTAAACACTGTTCATTCATATAACATGGTCATTACTGTTATTCAATAGAAGGTCACTGAGCAGTGCAGTGATTAGTGGAGTAAGGATATATGGAAGTTCTCAGTGGACAGTTACAAAATTAAGACATACTAAGTACTTCCACGTGGCACATATATCCAAATTCTGTGATCTTTTACCTGCCCTTTTGCAACATGCGTCCTTCCCTGCTCTCACCTCCCGATCCTCAAAATCTGAACCAGAAAATGTCGTGCTGTGTAATTTTGACTGCTGGCTTTGGGGCCGGACTCTCAAATGGTGTGTTGCTATTGCTGCCCTGAACTGTTATTGAATCTGGCCCCTGCTGTTATCGTGGGTAAAACAACAGATCACCGGAGACAGGAGAAAACACGAGACCAAAGTGAACCCATTTGCCCCTTATTGGTTGCTTCGATTATTATTAGTTCTGTTGATCTATTCAAGGCTTTTCTTCTAGTGAAAAGAAGAAATGCTAGCCACTAAGCAAAAGCATTTGCATTTCCTCTGCCCTGTCCTGTACCTCTGGGACTAGCGCAAAGAAAGTTATCACTGTGGAAGAGCAAAGGGAATCTGAAAGGTCTTGAGAAAGACAAAATACAAACTTAAGCTTACGGACTTGAGTGACTCAGAGAGAAGGCTAGAATCATCTCAGATGGAGAAAAAAAGAAAGTAATTGAAGAGCTAATAAACAGGCCTACTTTCTTCCTAACTAACACTGATTTGACTGTTCAGCTGATTCAAATACACTTCCCAAAGTCTGTATGAGACTCTGCCCTAGAGCCAGTTTTTACCTATCCGACTCATGCTGACCTGAAATCTTTGTGGCCAGTTTTGGATGATGAAAAAAACCCAGTTCAGTCCTGTAGATTGCCTGAAAATGAGTTCCATTTCTGACACCGGTTTTGTGATTTTTCCCTTCTCTACACTTTGGGTTGGAGATGAGCTAATGGCAAAGGAAAACTTGTTCGCTGAACAGAAAGACTTAAATTTTCTGAACTATGTAGAGAAACCATCTTGCATGGCTACATTTGAAATTCTTCAACCTCCATTTCAAAAAATCATTTAGTGAGGAACTGGAAAAGACAGTATTATGTAGCGGCAAGAAACATTACCCCTTTCCAAAGTCTGAATAACAACAGCTCTGCAAACTATGAGGCAGCTGCTAAGAAAATCTACATTCACACACAAGGAATCTTTCTACATACGTTGATGCTGTCAAGGAGATCGTTCTAATTTCCTCCTGATTCTGTTGGAAAAGTAAATAGTATTCTGATCTCACTAGATTTCAGACCATCCATAGATAGAAAAACTGGATTTATATGATGAAAGTCTCAATCAAAACTTCTGCTTCTAACTTCTTCCTCCTAAGATTTGGTAATTTTTAAAGTCCAAACAATGGCAGCTCTAGGGGAGCAAAGCCCAGAAACTCCTTTGGTTATGCACACATCTCTGGACAAAGCTAAAGGAAGGTAACTTGGCACTAAGCATGACAACCCACTCCTTTTTTGAAGCTACTTAATAAATCTTAGAATTTGTCTTCTTCAGATTTCTGCATAGCCATAGACAATAGTCTCTATTCTATAGAAGTTCTCAGTGGCTATGTCTGTTGGATAGGCTTAATCCGAATGCTTTTCACCAAAACTACTTAATCACAGTTTAAATATAAGTGTGTGAATCGTCCTACTGATGACTCACCAACTCAAGTCAATTGGACTATTTTGCATGCTGAAACCTAAAACAGATTATGCGTTCTGCTAATGCAGGTCTCAAAAAGGAAGCTTCCTCTTTGTGCAAAAGGAAACGTACGGACTGAATAGTGGGAGAAGAAAAAAAACCAGAATATAAATTGGTATAATCAAAGCGCTGGGTATTTTGTGACTGCCAGTTGGATTTAGAAAAGAAATAAATTCTTGGTTACTGCAAAATGGTAGAAAGGACCTCAAGATAGATAGAGGAAAGAGCCTATCTTATTAAAGAGAAAGACTAAAAGCAGGATGTTTAGGCTGGACTGTTTTACCCAGGTAAATATGGAAGGGAGAGATAGGGGGAGGGGGTCTCCCCAAGGATTTCTTTCTTTCTAGTCTGCTGTGTTTTTGCCTAACAGCTGAATCCTCATTATTTCAGGGAAAACTTGACATTTTGATGAGGAGGGGTTTTTTTTCACCCTTCCTGTGATTAGGAAAGCTACAGTTTCCACAAGGCTATCCTCATGGTTTGAGTAAATCAGCCTACTGCTACCTTTCCTGATGAAGTGAGCAAAAAATCCTATTAGCAGAGGAAGAGAGAAAGATGTTACAGGGGAACTGTTTTATGACATATTCTTTTTAGTATTAATCTTCTCTAAATCCATTGTGCGTTAGAAAATTCCAGATGGCAGCTAAAAGAGAAACCTCAAAAGGTTGCTTTCTTGCTTCAGTGCTGTAGCGGAAAGGAGTCTTAGTGTAGAACTGCCTGATGTACTGCTGCTTCTATGTAACCAATCACCTTTCCAACCTACTGAGACAAAAAGAAGTCTTTGCTGACCAACCCGGGTGCAGTTATAAATGAGCAGCTAAAAGGAGAAGCTGCTTATTTCATCTGGAATTTACAAAGCTAAAGAAAATACTCATTTCTACCACAAGAAGCCTCTTCATTCCCATTCCGTCATTTCATTTTATATCTCTCTTTTATTGGCCTGCATTTCATGACAGTCATTACCAGAGCACACGAGCTCCTGCCTATGCCCTACCAGTGACATGCAATCTTATGAAGATTGAGTACTACATAACGAACATAAGGCCTTATCTTCTAGAGCACTGCAAGCATCCCTGTGAGCTTACCAGGTGTAGTGTAGACTGTGTATTTTACAGAGGCAATTACATTTCCCTTTTCTTGAGTTTCACACTGGAAAGTAATTGGATGGGTATCTCTGCGTACTTCCATAATAGCTGAATCATTGGGAAGAATGAGTGCTGGCTATCCATATTAAAAAAAAAAGAAAAAAGAAAAAAGAAAGTCTCTTTTCAAATTTGCAAAGCAGAGTTGCGTTGTATTAGACATACAGAAAAGTGCTTATTTTATCCCAACAGTTTTCAACATGTCGGGACTCCTTCACCCCGGGAAAAGTCCTCCCATCTGTTCAGCACGTCCTGTTTGAATAACTGTGAAGGGCAATGTGGTTGTGACTTGCTGACATGGATTCACTCATCAGGCACTAAGCCCAACTTTTCTGAAATAAGAGCAAAGAAATATTGCTCTCTTGAAATCATTGTTTCCCTTAAACAAAAAGGAAATTGAAGCTCCATAAAGGTGCAAAGGCCTGTAAGTCTCTGTATTACCAACTTGCCAGTGAGAAATCAGGGCTTTTTTGCCTTATGGTAGCAAAGGAAACAATCAGCCCAGAAGTCTGTACAAGTCGCTTAGAGCATGTGGTATACACATTAAGCATGTAGTTTTTTCTGCGTAAAGTGGGGTTCAGTTACTTACCTGGTTTGGAATTAACATCTTCCAAACATATTTAAATCGATTTTCAGGAGGTATAAAAATACACAGCATCTTCACGCTGTCAGGGCTGTCAGAAATTGGTTTTCCCCCTATGGGAGGAATTTTTAATAGGTACATCATCTACTCTCTGAAACTACCTCTGTATAGACCATAAAGCTCATAATTCTTCAACCTACAGAATGTTCCTTGGAAAGTCATCATTTTTTCCTTAAAATTACTTCAAATACTTTTTTGTTTGGTCTAATATTTAGAACTATATACATATCTACAAAATTGAAAAGGAGAAAAATGATACAGGGTCTTAAAATCAAATGCAAAACAGTATAGAAATGAAATTTGAAACATTCCTAGATTGCTCTGTAGGGTAATTGGAGGGTGGAATGAAATGATTTCATTCTCCTTGCACCACACGCACAAAGAATAAGGATATTTTCTGTGAATTAGCTTATTTGCTCTAGGTTCCTGTATCACAGTGTTCTACTTACATCCGCAGTCTACTTGTCCCCGGCACTCCTCCACACGGACAATACATTTTTTTTCAGTCCCAGGGCATCCACTGGTTAACAAAACTTCTCGAATGCCAATCCCTTTGGCAAAAAAAAAAAAAAAAGAAGGGATATCTTTCACTCAGCATTTCTCCATTTTCTTCCAACATTATTTTTGCTTTCTCCTTCTTTGTCGTGGATGTTAATATGATGCATCTATCAAACGCCAGGCAGAACAGACCTTCTCTGAGTGCCTGCTAAAGCTATCCCACGTTGTTATCTCAGATTTCAAGACAAACATCTACTTCTGTCAGACTTTGCGCTACAGGGAGACAGAACCTTAGAATCACTGTGCCACTACGTGTCAGAAAAAGAATTCAAAATGTATTCAAAATTTTTCTTACAGAAAACGAGTTCAAAATGAAGTTGTGATGTATGTGCTTCAAAACAGTTAACTCACTTTAAACATCAAAGCATTCAGGCACCTGGCCTTTACATGCTCAAATCAGATGGCACAGAGGTTACTGTACAGACTGCCAATTCAGTACAGAGGTTACTGCACAGACTGCCTCCAGTCTTGTGATTGTCTAAGAGCCTTCAACTCCCACCAAGGTCATGCGAAACTGAAGGCACTAAAAGCTTCCTGATATTGGGATTGGAGAGTTTTGATCCAGCCTACAGTAACCAGCAATCAGGGACAAATGAATATCATTAACACATTCCTAAATGGGTTAGGAACCCTGTTAGAGACCGCACAGGGTGCTGGTCAGTAATATGAAAGAGGTGAAAACCAGTGTTGACCATCAGGACTCCATCAGCAACATGGAGGGTTGTACTGAAGAACAAGAGATAGCCCATCATAAACATTAAGGAAAACTTCCATGCATATTTCAATTAAGCAAAAAGTATTCGCCCTCATTATCAGGATGCAAATGGGAACATCCTCATTTTAACATCCTCATTTTAACAATTACAAACAAATTCAAAACAAGTGCTGTAATTGTTTTTGCCAAACAGTGTGTACACAGTTCACTGGAATGACATAGCATGTGGGGGAGGAAGGAATATGTTTAGGCCCAGTAAACACTGAAGATTTTGCCATTATTCCAGGAGCATTTTGTTTACTGACAGGCATGGGGAGAGGAGAGTTAACCACCCCTTACACTATAACAATAAATAGGAAATTGATTTGAATATTGCATTTCTGATGCATCTGCCTTCTTTCAATGTGTAGTATATAAACCAATGGATTTCAGAATCTTTTAGAGATGTCATATAACTCATGAAACAGTACTTCGAGTGACAGAGGGAGACAACACCACTTATTGGAACTGACAAAAAACAAGAATCATTCTCCACTGCAGAGAATGTCTCATCTCATAGCTGCACAGACAGAGGTGCAAATGGCAACGAACTGATGCTTTCATGAAAGGCATTCCGCTTTCTTCAGTGCCGTGTAATTTTTAGACAACAAAAAAAGGCAGGAAATCTAAGGAAATCCAAAAGGCTGACATGATAAAATCTGGGTGCTAGTTTAAGTGTAGTCACATTCATCAGGAAAAATCTCAGCATGTCTTAACTATGGGAATACTAAAATTGTGGAAGTATATCACATTCAAAGGGATGATTTAAAAAGCTCTGCTCGGGAGACACACAAATTCTGTCAGAGAAGACAAGCAGCTTACAGTTTTGCTGGGAGAACTAAGAGGCTACCTCTCAGCCTTTCAACAGAAAAACATGGAACAGCCAGGATTCAAACGATGGCTACAAACATTATCTGAACTCCAGATATGAGGTGATGTATTTTTCTTCTTTCTTATAGCCTGCGTTTCCTGATTCTTCACTAAGATGTATACAATTTGCAGTATTAAAAGGCTTACATATTAAATCTGAGAGACCAAACATAAAACTGAGATAAAACTTAGTGAAATTTCCTGAAAATACAGGGCATTGGAGAGGAGGTCCGCCAAAAGGATGGGACATAAGAAACAGCTTCTCAGTTTCTAGAGAATCCAAAGAGTATGACCGTAAAAGAGTATGGTATGAGGATGCTGACCATATAACCAGCTAGGAAGTTATGAAGTGAGGGAAAGGAAATAATAAAGTAAGTAAGAGCAAAAAAACCTCCCAACACTAGAATGTTCTAAGATGTGAACGAGTTTCCCTTAGGGAATCAAGGAATTCCTATCATCGGAAATACGCAAAAGTGTCTGGAAAAAAAAAGGCATACTCTAGAAAAGAACATCAGATTGATGAGGGCAAACACTCAACTCTTCTTTTTTTCTCTATGGTCTTATGAGAAGCAGAGTTTGTTCAGAACAAATTTAATAGCATTTCTGATTCAAGATTGCTTCCTAAGCAATGTAATTACCATCCTATTGCAATTCCTATCACCACCCTAAAAAGACATGTCGCCTTCAGGCTCAACCCATTTTTCCTCTCTCCCTTCCTACTCCAGAGTGACACCTCTCCTCTCCATTGCATGCTTTATACATTGTACAAATGTGGAATAGAGAACAGGATACTGCAGGCAAGCAATTTTTTGGCAATATTGTATGTGGGAAGACATCTGTGAGAAGCATCAGAAGATCTTTCATCTTCTGAACATCTCACAGATGTTCACAAATAGCGAAAATTGTTACTTTGGGGAAGGCAGCTCATGTGCCAATAAACGTAGGGAACTGGTTTAAAATAGGAGCTTGCAGGCTGTGAAATTAATAAAACAACAGATCTGACCTAAACTTCTAATGACAATCAGCTTGATTGTTTTTGTTAATTATAGTTATTGGCAATTGAAATCAATGAGAGGTGAATGAGGGCAAGCAAATTACAACTGCTAAATTGCTACAGTTAGCACTTTTTTTCAAAAACAAATGACAATATGTTTTATTCATCTGCTTTGCTACTTACCACATGTGACTGTGCACACTCCAATTTCTACCTCCCTGGGCACGGTGGCATTCAGACCTGAATACAAAGACTAAAGTTACTTTGCTAATAAAACGAAACCTGCTCACAGGGGTGAGTATGCCTAATTAACAGGAAAGTCACTACTTGAAATTATTTCTATTTTTTAATTGACATCTGAAATTTGCCAACATTTTTGCTGTCGTTAACTACAGCACAAAAATAATACATTTTTCAAAATTATATAATAAAATTCAGTGTGAATACCATTCATGTTTAAGCCTTAAGATGATTCTTTAAGAGAAAAAAAAATGTTTTTTTATTATAAGATAGCCTATTATGCTAAATTAGGCTACTGAATGCTCTGGAAAATGCAGTGTCTAGGTTGTATGCAAATTATAGATCTTCACTGAAAAGAGTTAAGAAGAATTTTCACTAAATAATATTCAGTTAATTGATTTCCTTGTTCTTTCTGGCTAACATAAGCCCTCCCACATGATTTTTTCCCCATCACACTTCAAGGTCAGGTTTAGACAGCTAGCACAATGATGAGTCAACCAGGTACGATATTTTAATTAGGTATTGGAGTTTTAATCACTGTGACTGGGTTCCTTCCATTTTTTATGCTACTTTGAGGTTGTGGAATGGGTTTCACAGAATGTGCAGAAGCAAAAGGTTCCCATCTCCATCTGGGATTCAAATAGGGATTATACATTTTATTTCTATTAGCATGCAATTTGAATGTTTGTTTATAAGGATTCAGAGATACAGTAGCTGTTTCATAGCAAAAGTAACTTAGGGAAGTGTTTTTGGAAATAATTCATTAAATAAGCAGTAGGTCTTTTTAATCTTCCAAAAGCAAACAGAAAAGACAAGTCATTATGACTCTTTTTACAAGTCTGCATTGCCAGTCCAGCCTACTCAGATTATTTTTTTCTGATAACAAATACTTACCAATGTAAAGTTTGCTTTCACTGTCTCTCAGTTTTTTATAGTCAAGATTTATGTTTACAAAATGTTATTTCTGTGTAGTAATGCAAGTTTATATATCACTTCTTGCTACTAAATCTTTACGTAACATTTACATTTTCACATACTATCCAAAACTTTAAATTTCTCAGGTTGAAAGGAACGGATCCATTTCTCTTGCAGTCAGTGATATACAAATATAAAACCTGTATTCCTCCACAGTAAAGGATTAACACCACAGCTGCACATTGCATTCTCCACAGTGATAAACTGATACTGAACTCTTTTTCCCAACATTATAAATGAGCCATCAAAATCCTATTCTTCTGTTATCTCTAACTGTCTTTATGGTTTTGACATTTATTTCAGCATATAAGCTGTGCTCATCAGAACAGTCTTTTAGCATAGGCACAGCAATTCTTAAACAATGACTTAACATTCAGTTTAATGTTAATGTAAGACTCCAAAACCTTATCCAGTACATAGGGGAAAAATGACTAAATTAAATTAAAACCCTCTGAAAACAGAGACATCTTTTAAAATGCCTAGCGTATCATCAAACTCTGTCTCAGATAAGCCTTACAAAATATCAGCTTCTTCAGAAGACATTTCTCACCATGGACATCCTATCACGTTTCACTTGGCTTCGTTTAAATTAATATGACAGTCAGTCAACAATCTTGTCTACCAACAACTACCCCAGCATAGCAGAGAGGAGGAAGAGAATTTAAAGATCCTGTCTACAGCCTAAATACAATCATGTTTAAAAAGGCCTGTATTCACTTTGGCACAACACGAGTTGTGCTTGTTCGCGTGTGCAGAATAAATGTAAGCACGTAAAAATGAATGGGAGGGAGGGCTAGGGCATTTTCAGATGGTGCAAATTCTTAACTCAACAGATTTCTGACAGTTCATATCAGATCAGAACAAGCACCAAACTCATACCCTGGAAAGTATACATTACCGTAATTCAATTTTGAGGTGACAAGCTAAGCATAGCCATTGCAGGATGTTGTTGTTTCTGAAAGGAGAAGTTGCTATTTCCCATCCAGGTACAAATTTTAAAAAGGTGATGATGATGAAAAAGCTTTAGCAACAATCGGAGACTCAAAACTTCACATATTACTAACAAGAGGTAGAAGGACTTTCCTAACCAGTGAAAGTAAATTTCTCCTAATTTTAGGGGAAGGTTCAGGATGCTTCCTGCTACAGGAGCGTTCCAACGCACAACGTTAGCCTTTTGTCACACTTTCCGAATGATGAACTGGCTGGAAGAGACAACAGCTCTGAGTAAAAGCGATACTGTATTTTCTAAGTGCTGATACCCCAGATAAACACGCAAACATGTCCAAACATTAAAACTCTGATTGGTTCTAAATTAACAAGTCAATGAGAGACCACTGATCCAGTTTTCTGATTTAACTAAATCAAAAACAACAAAAAGAAACTGTAAAGGAAACGACACGAGAGTCAGTGATAATTCCCTGCGTAATATTCTATACTAATGTTATGAATTTTCCACCGCAACATTACAATACAAAGTTGCAGCTTCCTTTACTTGCGTTCCCTCCCTATATTTTCAATGAACCAAAATTTTAAGAAAGCTTCCTATAAGAAACTGCTGATCCCTTCCACTTATATAAGATGGCTGTTTCCAGTTGCATCAGGTTCAGATAAAAATATAGTGTCAGCCCTGTGCAAAGAGAATTATGTATATAGCTTCCATTAGCATTAATAGGAGTTATATATGTAAATCCCACACATGCTGAGACAAGAATGTGCTAAAGAACTGCATTTACATTCCTGTCAGGGGGCTGCAATTAGTACCAGCACAGCAAAGGCAGCCTGCCTTCCTCTCCACGTTTGGAAGCCTTGTAAAACCTATGCAGAACAGAATTTTTTTCCCGTTATGCACCCTTTTAATTACAAGTCACATCACAGAACGCACGCAGAATATTTTGACAAACACTTACAAAGCCCCTAGGAGTCTTACTCCCCACGTCGCTAGGCAGCGCCCAAAGGCAGCCTTGCGAAGCCCAGGGGCTTCGCACTCGTGAGTCACTCGTGAGTTAGGTCATGTCGCTCTTGCTGAGTGCTGCGGCTTAGTACTTATGGGCTCCCGGAGGTCAGAGGGAAATACTAGCACCGTCCCCGCGTGGTTCGCAAGCCGGGCAGCTCAGGCCTGTGCCCATAACGTGGCCGTCAAGGGGAGCTGGCCTTCGGTGGACGATTCCCACAGCGACGAGGGTGGCAGCTATACACAAGAGGGGGAGCGGCATTACACGCCGCCCGAAGCGATACGTCCCCTCTCGGCAGAAGGAGGTCTTTCGACGGGCAGCCGGCTTCGCTCTCAGCAGCAGGTTGGACGGACTTGTGCTGCTGCGCTGCCCGGCCGCGCTACCAGACGGAGAGGGTGTGCGTATGTCCGGCTCTCCGGAGCCCACGCTTCCCGCGCCCGGAGCCACACGTCGCTCCAGAGCTTTCCCCGTTTCCCCATCCTCCCCCTCCAGGAGGGCGCCGGTGATGTTGCATGACTTAATAAATCACTGAACACACTCTGACACCTTCCCACTGTCTGCATATGACACGAAGGAGAAATCGTCACCCCCGGGCGGTGATTCAGCCTTGCTCACCAGCCGTGACTCCCCGCGGCCCGGC